ATTAATTCCTCTTCTTACGATGCAATTGTTTCTATCTTTAAACGATCGTGTCCGAATCCGAAAGTACTTCTAGAAGAATGTCTGCGAATGTTGAAACCTGGTGGCACATTAGTAATTTACGAATCGTTCCAACAAGAAGAGAACGTAAACTTAATTTATGACGAAAGAGTGTCGAACTTAAAATTAACTGGTTTCAAAGAGAAAGATCAAGAATTTTTCGATACTAGGAAGCTGAAAGATCTTTTAGTTAATGTATACAGTGATGTAGATTCCGTTTGTGAGGTGGTAGCAGAAAAACCAAGATTCGAGGTGAGTTCTATTAATTTAGGAACCATTCAAGAAATATTATAATAATTAATGGCATCGGTTTTAAAAAAATATTGAAATATATTAACATTTAGGATTCTGTAATTTTCTTATAAATTCATCAAATCTGTAATCTATCATACATTTACATCCATAAAAAATCCATCAGTTTCAATGAAATACATGTTTGAAATTTACGTAGATCGGATCTAGCGTGACACTTAATTTTGGCGAGAAAAAATCGTCGAATATCTGGAAACTGGATAACACCGTTGACGATGAACTGATCGACGAGGATGACCTTTTGGACGAGAACGATATTTTAAAACCCGAAGCGTCTAGTTTAAGGGGTAACGTTCAATACTTTTGTTTCCAGTCGATCTCGAGCAATTAATATTTATTATATAAATAATATATTATTGATCGATTTTTAGTGTGCGCTACCACGGGTAAAAGAAAAGCGTGTAAAGACTGTAGCTGCGGCCTGGCGGAGGAACTGAGCGGAAAGGCCGCACCGCAAGAGACACAGAAATCCTCTTGTGGGAATGTAAGTTTGTTCTCGCAATGTCAAAAGCACCTAAATATAGAATTGTTTGATATATATTTTTCAGTGTTATCTGGGGGATGCGTTCCGTTGCGCCAGCTGCCCATACCTCGGCATGCCCGCGTTCAAACCCGGGGAGAAAGTGGTTCTACCCGAGAGCCAATTAAAAACGAATTAACTCCGATTAATTTAATAATCACGCGTCATTACTATTTTCCATATTACACATCAAATCGCAAAGGATGATCTACTTTATTTCGTCTCCCCAGAGTGAAATACGTCGCGTTCAAAACGAGAAATGTACTTGAAATTTATGTAATAAAAGGATTTAAAATACGTACTCGTTTAATTACTTCTTTATATTTGTATACAATGAGGAATCAACGTGTGAACTATAATAGAATGATACAAAAAAAATAAAATATTCACATAAGCGTACGATCAATTTACGCTTTGGTGTCGAAATAAGATTTTAAGTACCACGAAATTATAATACAATTTGTTTACAGATCGATTAATTGTATTAAAGATATAAAA